ATGTATATCTATCTAAGTCTATGGATCATGTGAGTATGTGGGACTCTGTGGGTCTGTATATGAGTCTAGGTATCTCTATCTAAGTCTATGGATCATGTGAGTGTGTGTGACTCTATGGGTCTCTATATGAGTATATGTATCTCTAAGTCTATGGATCATGTGAGTGTGTATGTGACTCTATGGGTCTCTATATGAGTCTATGTATATCTATCTAAGTCTATGGATCATGTGAGTATGTGGGACTCTGTGGGTCTGTATATGAGTCTATGTATCTCTATATAAGTCTATGGATCATGTGAGTGTGACTATATGGGTGTGTATATGAGTCTATATATAGATCTCTAAGTCTATGGATCATGTGAGTATGTGTGACTCTATGGGTTTCTATATGAGTCTACGTATCTCTATCCAAGTATATGGATCATGTGAGTGTGTGTGTCTCTATGGGTCTCTATATGAGTCTGTCTATCTCTATACTAAGTCTATGGATCATGTGAGTGTGTGTGCTTCTGTGGGTCTGTATATGAGTCTATGTATATCTATCTAAGTATATGGATCATGTGAGTGTGACTCTATGGGTCTGTATATGAGTCTATGTATCTCTATACTAAGTCTATGGATCATGTGAGTGCATGTGACTATATGGGTCTGTATATGAGTCTGTATCTCTATCTAAGTATATGGACCATGTGAGTGTGACTCTATGGGTCTCTATATGAGTCTATAGATCTCTAAGTCTATGGATGATGTTAGTGTGTATGTGACTCTATGGGTCTCTATATGAGTCTATGTATATCTATCTAAGTCTATGGATCATGTGAGTATGTGGGACTCTGTGGGTCTGTATATGAGTCTATGTATCTCTATCTAAGTCTATGGATCATGTGAGTGTGACTATATGGGTGTGTATATGAGTCTATATATAGATCTCTAAGTCTATGGATGATGTGAGTGTGTATGTGACTCTATGGGTCTCTATATGAGTCTATGTATCTCTATCTAAGTCTATGGATAATGTGAGTGTATGTGACTCTATGGGTCTCTATATGAGTATATGTATCTCTAAGTCTATGGATCATGTGAGTGTGTATGTGACTCTATGGGTCTCTATATGAGTCTATGTATATATATCTAAGTCTATGGATCATGTGAGTATGTGGGACTCTGTGGGTCTGTATATGAGTCTAGGTATCTCTATCTAAGTCTATGGATCATGTGAGTGTGTGTGACTCTATGGGTCTCTATATGAGTATATGTATCTCTAAGTCTATAGATCATGTGAGTGTGTATGTGACTCTATGTGTCTCTATATGAGTCTATGTATATCTATCTAAGTCTATGGATCATGTGAGTATGTGGGACTCTGTGGGTCTGTATATGAGTCTATGTATCTCTATCTAAGTCTATGGATCATGTGAGTGTGACTATATGGGTGTGTATATGAGTCTATATATAGATCTCTAAGTCTATGGATCATGTGAGTATGTGTGACTCTATGGGTTTCTATATGAGTCTACGTATCTCTATCCAAGTATATGGATCATGTGAGTGTGTGTGTCTCTATGGGTCTCTATATGAGTCTGTCTATCTCTATACTAAGTCTATGGATAATGTGAGTGTGTGTGACTCTATGGGTCTCTATATGAGTCTATATATCTCTAAGTATATGCATCATGTGAGTGTGACTCTATGGGTCTGTATATCAGTCTATGTATATCTATTTAAGTCTATGGATCATGTGAGTTTACGTGACTCTATGGATGTCTGTGTAAATCTACGGGTGATGTGAGTGTATGTGACTCTATATGGGTTTGTACATTAGTCTATGCATCTATATATAAGTCTATGGATCATGTGAGTGTATGTGACTCTATGGGTCTGTACATCAGTCTTTGTATCTCTATATACGACGATATATCATGTGAGTGTATGCGCCTCTATGGATGTCTGGGTAAGTCTATGGGTCATGTGAGTATATGTGACTCTATGGGTCTGTATATCAATCTATGGTTCTCTATCTAAGTCTGTGGATCATGTGAGTCTATGTGACTATGAATCTGTATGTAATGGTGAGCAGTAGTGTAGCGGTTTAGCGCTACGAATGATCTAAACTGGGCATGGGCCTCCTCTAAGTTGACTCAGTCTCAAATGAGTACCTCGTGTGTAAACATCGCTACTAGGGAGACAAAGGCGGTCGGGCGTGGTGTTGGCCACCCACCCCCCCGTGTACCGTTTCGGCCTTGATAGGTGCTCGCTAACAGTACTTGCCCCAACAGTCTGTTAAGTCTATATGGGGGTCTTTGTCTGTACGTATGTTAGGATAGTGGATGTGATTTGAGGATCGGCAAAGCATATCAGCTCATGGAGGGAGAAAATCCAAGGAGTCCATTACAGCAATTAGCCTCCTAGCTTATAATACTAATTGCAGACTCGATATTTCAAAATCTCTCAAGGCTTAGAAGAAGATGCATTGCACTGGAGTATTTCGCAATGATTGAAGTTACGTGTTAAATGATGGATTACAATTACCGATGATCTCAGACTATAGAGCAATTGAAACGTATGTATTGGTGCCCGCTATTGGCGGTTCATGATTTCACTCAAGAATTTGCTAGTCGATGGGCAATGGTAGTCTATGGGCAACGTTAGTTGTTGGGCATTGTTAGTCTCTGGGAAATGTTAGTCTTTGGGCAATGTTAGTACTTGGGGAATGTTAGTATTTGGACAACGTTAGTCTTTGGGCAATTCTAGTCTTTGACAATGCTAGTCTATGGGCAATGTTAGTCTATGTGCAATATGAGTCTGGGCAATGTCTACGGGCAGTGAAAGTCTATGGACATTGGTGAGTCCATGGGCAACGTTAGTATCTGGCTATACAAAAGATGCATCTCCCATATAGACATACAGAAGGGACATCTCCCATATATTTAATTTGGAGCTTTCGTGACTGCAGGAATTACTCTTTGGTTCTTTCGGTAAAGTCACGTATAAAGATAAAGTAATAAATTAAATACTAGCATACGACGTTTCGATTGCAACACAAGCAATCATCATCAGGTATAAATGAAATAGAAACACAAATCTAGTATACTTAGAAATGTAATGTAATACAACAGAGAGTCGGATAACACGGGTGTTGACTGTTATGTTATCCGACTCTCTGTTGTATTACATTACATTTCTAAGTATACTAGATTTGTGTTTCTATTTAATTTATACCTGATGATGATTGCTTGTTTTGCAATCGAAACGTCGTATGCTAGTATTTAATTTATTATTTTATCTTTATACGTGACTTTACCGAATGAACCAAAGAGTTTCTCCCATATAGCCAAACAAAAGATACGTCTTCCATATAACTATATGAAAGGTGCATCTCCCATATATCCATACTGTAGGGGCCATCTCCCATATAGACATATGAAAGCTGCATTTACCATATAGCAATACGGAAGGCACATCTCCCATATAGCCATACGGTAGAGGGCATCTGCCATGTAGGGAGACGAAAAGTGCATCTCTCATGTAGCCATACGAAATGTGCATTTCCCATATAGCCATATGGAAGATGCATCTCCCATATAGCCATACAAAAGGTCCATTTCTCATATAGCCATACAAAATGCACATTTCCTATAAAGCCAAATAAAAGGTGCATTTCCCATTAAACCATGCAAAATGTACATTTCCCATATAGCCATACGAAAGGTGCATTTCCCATATAGCCATACAAAAGGTCCATTTCCCATATAGCCATACGAAAGGTGCATTTCCCATATAGCCATACAAAAGGTCCATTTCTCATATAGCCATACAAAATGCACATCTCCTATAAAGCCAAATAAAATGTGCATTTCCCATTAAACCATGCAAAATGTACATTTCCCATATAGCCATACGAAAGGTGCATTTCCCATATAGCCATACAAAAGGTGCATCTGTCTTATAGCCATATGAAAGGTGCATCTCCCATATAGTGTTACGAAAGGCGCATCTCCAAATATAGCTCCGTGAAAGTTATATCTCCCATATAACCATACGAAAGGTGCAGTTCCCATATAGTCATATTGATGCACAGTTTGAAGGTGGCAAAGGTGAAATCTCTGTCGCAGATCGGCTGAGCTCTGAGGTCGATTAAATAGGTTGTCTACCGAATATCTTCACCTATAGGACCACTTTAGTTCCTCTAACTCTCTTCTGTAGCCTCAGAAGTTCCTCCTTTTTCCTATTAAACATTCCATTCGCTATAATTGTGTTCGGTAACAAAACACATTTCCGTGTTGGAACCTCTTCGACGCTCGTCATCAGCGTGGTTCCTTACTTTTGCTCTGCCCCCCCCCCCGCTCTTTTTAAATCCTTTATATTAAGTTCACTTGCTTGCTTGCTTGCGCGCTTACGACCGTGCAAATCTTTCGGTCGTTTTTAACCCACTTTCCGATGATCCAATCGAGCTGACATTTTGCACATAGACTCGTTGTGCGTGACAATTTATTTTCGTGAAATTTTTTTCCCAAAATTTTACACTTTTTAGGAAAAAATAAATTATATTTAATTACCAACTGCTTAATGGTGGCAGGCAATCATCTGACCCATAGGTGGCAGCTATCTCAAGCCAGATGACGAGAGGATTCTAGCCGCCACGCATATAAAGGATTTATAGTGAAAAACTTTGTTTTTACGGGGTAATTTTTTTAAATGTTCCTATCAGACCAAAACAGCATTGCTTACGTAACCTTTATCTGGCGCCTCTTGCTCCCCACACGTTTGCACCGCCATTTTCGATTGCCCGCGTGTGTTTCATTCACGACCGTAACACACACACACCGCGTTTACTCGTTGTGAACAATACTCCTTCAGGACTCTGCTGTGCTCGTATCATTCTTTTTTGCGGAGGAAGATGCTTCCACTCTTGTCTTGCTTTGTCCCAAAGGTGGTCCCCCCCCCCGATGGAGGCAAACCTGTCCACCAACACCTCCCCACCATCGTTCACCTCCATCCTCATGGCCACGCCATTCCGGGAGCCTGCGAGCTTCCGATATTTCGCCTTCATCTCCATCCTCCTCGTCTACCTCGTCACGGTGGTCGGCAACCTCCTGCTGTGCCTTGTCATCTACCACGAGTCGAATCTACACAAGCCCATGTACGTGCTCATGGCCCTGCTGTCCGTCACGGACGTGGTCGAGACCACGAACTCCCTGCCGAGGATCATGACCAACCTCATGTCCTACAACAACGTGTCCCTGTCCGAGTGCATGACTCAGATGTTCTTCCTCCACGTGACCATCAGAATGCAGGGCTACGTCCTGGCCCTCATGTCCGTCGACCGCTTCATTGCAATCGGGCAGCCGCTACGCTACCACAGCTTCGTGTCGAACGCGCGGGTCACCAAGGCATTCCTGGCCATCGTGGCCATCTCGGTCGTGCCGGGCATGGGCTACGTGGGCATGGTGCTGCGTCTAAGCTTCTGCAGACCGCTGGTGACGTTCGCGCCCAACTGCGACTTCATGGTGCTCACCAACCTGGCTTGCGGCGAGGTCTACTACAACATCGTGTATGTGTACGCCAACGTGTTCGTGGCCATCGTCCTTACCCCTGCTCGTGGTGGCGGTTGCCTACTGCCTCATCCTGTTCGAGTTTCGTAAGAGGAGTCTCCGGCAGAACCAGAGAGCGTTCCAGACGTGCATGACCCACCTCGCCATCATCTGCATCTACTTCGGCTCCATATTGTTCACCGTCGGCAGTGGCCTCCAGTTCTTCTCGGGGGTCGTACGCGAGGTGCGCGTGCCCCTGCAGTCGTTGCAGTACGTCATCCCGCCGGCCCTGAATCCCATTGTCTACGGACTCCGCACGGACGCGATTCGTCGTGGAGTCCTGAAGATGGTGCGTCGGAAGGTTTCTATGGGAAAAGCCGAGTTGCCATAATTAGTTAGGATCGGAATTGTTTTTTGTTTAGACTGGAGGCTGGGTTATGAAGATATTTTTTGCACGGATGCTTCAGTTGGTTCACATATGCTCCAATCGGTTCGCAGATGCTTGAGTCTAATGTCACACCATTCAATCTGATCCGGTTGTTTTCGATCTGGTTATGACTAACTAGCAAGCAAATATCTGGTTGCAATCTGAATCCAGTCCGTGTCCAGTCTTGTTCCATCGCAATCAAGCATCATAACGGTCAGTTCTGGAATCAACGAGTATCTTCAAATCTTGTTTCACCTGATCTGGATATCCAATGAGCACAGCTTTATAATTTTGCAGATAATGCTATCGTTCACAGAAGGTAGATTATTAGACTCGATGGATTTTTTTTCATCTGCCCGTAGATTTTCCCAACATTTAAGTTGCAATGGCCACCCTAGTCTTAATCTCATTCCTCCGTTATAAATAAATATTCTGATTGTGAATCTCGCATTTTTATCTTCCGCAATATTTGCTTCAAAATATTTTAAGACTCTTTCCGAATTCTCTCCTCTGACGGGTACATGTCGTCAGAGAAGAGATGTTAGCTACGTACAGGGCGAAAGAAGTTCAGCATGCTGACATACATACACACCTGTACCATCATCCTCATCACGTTTCTAAGTGACGAAGATGTGCATGGTAGCGGTGGTGCATCACTGTGTAGGCTACGCGTGACAGATCTAGTTGGTAGTTTTTTGTATCCACTGCTAGCCAAACCTGGGCACTCAGATCGATGTGGAGAGATGCTATTTTCCTCGCCTGGTATGCAGGAGGTCGAGGGTTCTATCCCGACCCTGAAGCCTGTCGTACGTTTGGAGTTTGCCGTGTCTCTCAATCTCCCCGTGGTCGCGTGGATTTTTTTCTCCGGATCCTCCGGTTTTCCATCTCCACATTTGTAAACATGCGTTCAGAGTATTTAGATTATTTGGTTGCACATGATAAGCTAATTTCTTTTTAGCTTTATTTGTGGGACGATCGCTTCTGACAGAGAAGTGAATTGCTCAGTGCACCTTACCTGGTACAATAAAAATGTAAACGTCGTAGTTTTTTGCGAATTTTTTTAGTTATTTTCTTTGAACCTATCTACGTGACTTTACCGAAAGACCCAAAAAATATGAATTCCTGCAGTCACCTTTCCTACACTTTGCACTCCTATCATATTTTTGTATTGTTTGTTATTGCCACGTTCTGACCCCGTGCCCCCTACTTGACATCTGTGAAAAAGATCTTCATAGTCCACGTGATTCCTCCACGGGTTCTCAAAAAATATTCCGATTCTGACGAGTGTGAAGTTTGCCGATGGCAGAACCGTTTGAAGATCAGACACTAACCGTCGTGACATGATTTGTTCTAAATCATATGGTTACCATTGGAACCTCATTTGGCAGTAAAAAATATGATAATTGTTTTTTTACCCTTCTATCTGGCAACAAAACTAACACCTTTTTTTACAAGGAGTCATGTTTGCATAGACCACAATACCTGCAGCCATAATGCAAACAACTCTGATAATATATGCATTATGATAATGCATATATTATCAGAGTTATGTTTTTTTTTGCATTATGGCTGCAGGTATTGTAGTCTATGCAAACATGACTCCTTGTAAAAATAAGGTGTCAGTTTTGTTGCCAGATAGAAGGGTAAAAAACCAATTATCATCATATGGCTACTTAAGCATGAATCTGTGCCAGGATATTCGTAGCTGGCTGCTGACTCTCTTCCTCCTCTCCACCACCAACCCCAACAATCGCTTCCCATTGGTGTTGCCAAACGAGATTAACTGGGTGATCGGCTGCACCGGTGTCACCGTGGCGAGGAAATGTTCTATCCCTTGCCTGGTTACGCAGGAGGTGAAGGGTTCTTTCCCGGAGCCTGACGATGCTGGTCGCGTGTTATGTTCTACGGGTTCTAGATTTGAAGCTTTCGTGACTGCAAGGAATCATATTCTTAGGTTTTTCGGTAAAGTCACGTGTACTTTACCGAAAAAACCTAAGAATATGTTCTACGGGGTTCCTCCGCTTTTGCCCTTCGTCTCCACATTTGAGAATCAACGCGTGAAATTTCGATTTAAAGCTTTCGTGACTGCAGGGGTTCATCTTCTTGGTTCTTTCGGTACAGTCACGTAGAAGGGAAATAATAAAATAATAAAAATAAAACATTAATTCCTTTGTCAAGGCGCTCTTCTCCCACTAACCCAGCTTAAATATACGCTCCAAGCTTGGTGGTGTTTCATTCTTCACCTGAGGACGGCTGCTTGCGTTGTGGCCGAAACGTCGTGAGAATTATTTTGTTACGTTTTATTTTTATTATTTTAGTATTTTCCTTCTAAGTGACTTTACCGAAAGAACCAAGAAGACTACTCAAGATCGTCGCCATCGTCGCTGTCGTCTCGTCGCCATCATCGATGTCGCCTTCACTCGATATTGCGCTGCTAGGATCGTTGTTGGCTGTTTCGGTTCAGCGCCGTCAGTGTTAGACGGTTAGTGTTGTGTATAGGCTAGCAACGGTAATAGTGTGTACCCACGTAGAGTTGTGTATAGGCGAGCGACTGTAGAGTTTGTACCCACGTAAGGTGTGTATTATACCGCTGGTGCTCGTTAATCAAAGAAGTGCCTCCAAGTTTTATCGTCTCCGAGTTAGTCACTACAATGGTAAAAAAACCGGATAATACAAATGTATGTGTAATAAAGGCTCGTGGAAGCGACTTCTAGAATCATGTCTTTATTTGTCTCTCGTTCACAACACTCCCATCTTACTCCTTCACGCTGCTGACAGACAGCGTGAGAGGGAGACACGCGCGGCCACGTGGCAGCCTGGACCCCGTGGCAGCCTGGACCACGTGGGCAGCCTGGACCACGTGGGCAGCCTGGACCACGTGGGCAGCCTGGACCACGTGGCAGCCTGGACCACGTGGCAGCCTGGACCCTGCTCCAGCGTGGTCTCACCCTCCGTTCGTTCCAGATCTGACCACGTGTTGTTCGTCTCCACCCCTTTTAATACCCGGGTCACGTGGTACCTTTCCACCAATCCTGGTTAGCCTCTATGGAATCTTCTAGACTCCATCGTACGCTCCCAGGACCACGCCCCTGACTCGTCCTCCCATTGGCTGTGGCTAAAGCCAGCAGAACCAATCCTCTAGATATGTCCTCACATTACATATGTAATTGCTTCAAAAAGTCAGAGTCTCTACTTGTTCACCTTCATTGTCAAAACATGCCAGTAATCTTCTCCAGGTGATCTCCAGAGCCCAGAGGTATATTTCTTGTGGTATTGTTGCAAATTCTCAGAAGTGTTAACGTTTTTTTTAAGCACGCTGTATATGAAACCGATGGGACGGTGTGTGTGTTATCATGAGAATGAGTCGGTAGCTATATTCAAGCCTGCCATGGAAAACCCCATCTCTTTAAATGGTGCCTTCCCGTTAAAGCTTAGAAGGCTTTCGCGACCAATATTATTCATAATAAAGGTTTTTTGGTCTTGATTTTAAGCTTTCGTGACTGCAGGAATCCATACTCTTTGGTTATTTCGGTAAAGTCACGTAGGTAGAAATAAAACGAAACGTCGTGATTTATTTTGTTATATTTCTACCTACGTGACTTTACCGAAAGAACCAAAGAGTAAGGTTTTTTGGGTTAGATCGCGTAAGTATAAATGTGTCGTAACCCTCCACCACCCGACACAGCCAGTAAGGTTTGTCACGTAAACAATGTGCCAATTAGTTACTAGTATAGTGTATAGTAGTGTATAGCGTATAGTATACTCCTTTAGCCCACCGGTGTATTGGAGAGTAAACCCACAACGTGTCGTTAACCCACATTTATAATGCGCATTATAAATGTGAATTATTATAATTTGTTGTTGTTGATGTTTGTTGACTCCACTCTGCACCCAGAGGCGCTCACAAACTCAGCCCATGGCTCCGCCGAGCTGCATTGGCGGTCCAGTTGCCGAACGAATATACGGCAGCGTTATTGTTGTTGTCGTTATAGGGTCTCGTTCATTACCAATATCCGTCATTCGCCACTATGCGACGTCACCACGGCGCATGTGTCCGGCCAGGTGCACTTTGAGGCCACGTGAAATGTCGAAGGCTAGCTGACTGGAGGAGGTTTCGGGAAGAGACCCAGCAGGTGCCATGTGTTGGTTTATTGAGATGACCGGTAGATGCACCACCTGTGCCACCCTACTGTGCCAGGCTAGGTGCACCAGGAGTTCACGGGGCAGACCCAGCAGGTGCCACGAGTCGACTGACTGACACGACTGGCCGATACACCACCTGTGCCCCCCTACTGTGCCAGGCTAGGTGCACCAGGAGTTCACGGGGCAGACCCAGGTGCCACGAGTCGACTGACTGAGACGACTGGCCGATGCACCACCTGTGCCCCCCTACTGTGCCAGGCTAGGTGCACCAGGAGGTCACGGGGCAGACCCAGCAGGTGCCACGCGGTCGACTGACTGAGATGAGTGGCCGATGCACCACCTGTGCCCCCTTACTGTGCCAGGCTAGGTGCACCAGGAGTTCACGGGGCAGACCCAGCAGGTGCCACGGGTCGACTGACTGAGACGACTGGCCGATGCACCACTTGTGCCCCCTACTGTGCCAACATGCTGTGCTTTAGTCGCCCGGAGCTCCGCTCGTTGTTGTGAGCGTCGCTCCTCCGCCCTCCGTTGTTGCTGGAGGGCGACTGCCTCCAACTGCCCAGCAGCAGCAGCATCGTCCTTCACGAGCGTCCTCGCTCATTCGACACGCACACACAGAGCGCTCGCCACAAAAAGAACAACCACGATACCTCGATGGCTGAGCTTTAAATCATCATCATCATCATCACCACCACCATCATCACCACAACCATCATCACCATCATCACGACTATCATTATCATCACCACCATCATCATCACCACCACCATCATCACCATCATCACGACTATCATCATCATCATCACCACCATCATCACCAC